TGATTTCTTCAGCATACTCTCAAAATATGGAGTTCATGGGTTTCCTACCCTTTTCCTTTTAAATCTAGAATGCAGGTAAACGTTATCATGGAAACCGGTCTGTTGAATCCGTTGGTGCCTTCTATTATGATGTCACTGGTAAGACCTGTTTCTTCAACTTTTGAGGTTCTACGACTATGCAGATCCATATTATCTCGAGTTAATGAGTGCTGGAATGTTTTTATATGAAGCTTTTTCATTCTCTATTCTCGGCTTTTTTGTGTACTTTCTGTTCATAAATTCTCTCTGGTATTAACTGGTGAATTGTGATTGCCTATGTGGTGCTTGATTTATCATCATGCATTTTGGTTGTGTTAGAGCTCAAGATTATGGTTTCTACGTTTTTTGAACCGTAAACCATCTTCATTTTGTCTTTTGCTTTTGGTGTATGTCAAAAACGTACCATCTCATCCTACATAATCTTATCCGTGCGCGCAATTATTGCATTCCCATTCTTCTTCATGAGATCCTATAATCCTATATAGGATGGTAATGTTATAAAATAAGTTAAATGAAGACAACTAATTTATTACTCATGTTTAGTTTTCTATTGAATATGTTGCATTGTTCTAGGCTTTAAGAACAAATCTCTGGATAGAACATCGCTGGACACAACCCGACACATATAAAAACATGAGAAGCATAATAGCACTGAACAGGAAGCCAGCTCTTTCTCTTGGGCAAGATCTCCATAGAATCTACTTAAGCAAGAGACCTATTTGGCCTTATCCACCACTTTTTTGCTTTTAAGGTTGCTTTACCTGCTGTATCCAACACTATTAGTATCCACTCACTTCACTTGGAGACGGCTCAATCGGAAGGTGAAGTTGGGAACCATGTTGGAACACCCTGTTGCTTATTTGAAAAGAAAATTTCAGTTCATTGCCCTGAAAGAACCCTGCAAGAGGAACAACTTGCATGGTGCAATGAATGCCAGAACATGGGCTTCTTTCTAAATCCCTTGCAACTGTTAAATTAAATTATACTATTAATTCTTATACCTATTTTCTAAGATCTACCAACTTCAAAAATTAAAGTGATACCTTAAACTTAATAACATTCAATTTTTTGTTCACATTAATCCACGAATTTAATTTATTTTGATGACTTATCGCTCTCAGAATATGTTATATATATAAATTTAATATCAACAGAAAAGACTGAAATAGATGGTTTGTAAAATTGAGACTTAAAATATTTGAATTTATTAAAAATGAAATAATTTTTGCAATTTTGTTCCTTTATCAGGAAAAAGTGTGAACAAGGGCCGCATAGCAAAAATTCATTGAGCATAATTTTTAACGATTGGTCTGCAAAAAATTGAATAAAATATAAAATACTTAATTTTAATAAAAAAAAATTAAACAGTAAAAATCGATAAAAAAAAAGTATAATTTAAATATTTATTTTATAATAAAACCGTATTTAAATGTAAAATTACTAAGTAATATGAACAAAATAATCCAAAAATAAAATTGAAAAGTTTATCAAATACGAAGTTTTTTCTTTTAGGTAAAAATCGAAATAAAGGGTCATTCTATAAGTACTATCCTTAACACCCTACCAAGTGTCATGAATAGATAATTTTTATGAGTTTGATCAAATTTATATATGAAACCAATATATTGTATATTTATTTAAATTCAAAATATAGATTTTAAATATGTTTAAAATCGTTTCTATATGAAAATGATCAAATCAAATTTATTTTTAATTATTATTTAAAAAGTATTTATTATACTTTAAATTTAATATATTTTTATAACTTCTACTTTAAAATCTATTTTTGTTATTTTTATATATTAAGACTTAAGATATAAAAATAAATATTGTAGATAGCATTCTTTACATTTTTTCAAATAGTTATCTTACTTATTATTTTCTTAACTAAGTGACAATATATATCATATAGTTATAACTGTTTAAACCCAATATTTTTAAAGAACATAACATTTTTTTATCTCGAAAAACACTCCATAGATTTTAGAAAATAAAGAAAGATTTCAATCCCTAAATCTTTTTATAAAGACATAACAACCAACAGCTAAGTTAGGCTAGAATTCGTCTTTCACATCTGCTTGAATCATTATATCTTAGAAAGATTTCAAATCAAAAGATTTTATTTTTTAGTTAAAAGAAAATGATTTGTCGATCAATAATCAACTCTAACTGAATCGAAAGAAAACGTTATTGTTAATAATGAATTTTCCACTTTGATTTCGTTGCCTTCTGGTTTATAATATCAAACCATAAAAATTTAGAGTTCTGCAACTGAAGTAACAACACCGACGAGAAACGAAAACGTTAAAAGACATTTTGTACAAAAAATGAAATGAAACAGAAAATAAGTTAGGAGTAATATTGTGGGTTAATTTTTCTAATTAATGATACCAAAAGTTCTAATAATATTCTAAATAAATAACTAAATTTTTGTATGGTTTAGCGATTAAATTATAGAATTTAATATTTTTAGAATAACTTTTAATGCTTAATAAGCTAGCACTTGACTTGGACTTGGGAGGTTGCATAAAAGCGAAAGATCCCATGTTTGGTTGGCTGGGAATCTCATTCCCGGTAATGTTTTATTACCAATAATAGATTTTTTGGGGTATATTACCGGGAATGTCATTATCTCTCCCTTTCATTAGGTATTGTTGGATTATCGGCGTTTTGAGCTAAAATGCCCTTAAAAAATTTCAAAAATATCCTTCTTCTGTCACTGAATAATAAAAATTCTACAAAGATTAAATTACAAATTTATCCTTAAACTATTTTATATTTACAAAAAAAATCTATAATTAAAATTTTATATGAAGTTCATGGGTTAAAATAAAATTTTACCATTTCATTAAACCTTTTTATATTGTCAATTTTGTAAAAATATATATATAAATTTTATGAATTTAAATTTTTTAAAGAAAATATATAAATATTTTCCAATTTGTTAAAAAAACAAATATATAATAAGGACAATTTGGTCAAATATACATTCAAATAATCTTTTATTCCTTTACCCAAACACAGTAATCTTACATTCATGCTAAACCAACCAAACACAAAATACAACATTCCCAGTAATCTTATTCCCTGGTAATCTTACATTCCGTGAACCAAACGCACCCTAAGGGTACAACTAATTTGCTTCCAAACACAACGTTGAAATTGAAAAACTAGAAATCTTAGCTTTTATGATTCATTTGAAATTGCCGTTTCCACCATGATTTTTTTTTTATTTTTTTACTTCTTGGACATTGATCTTGCTATCGAAACGAGCTTTTTATCTAAAAACACTTTTAGAAAGTCACACCAAACAGTACATAAGGTGAACGTTTCTTGACATAAGATATTTTTGAACCTTGAACTCTGAACATTAAAATCTGAATCTTAAACTTTAAACGATAAATTTTAGAGAAAATAACTTCAGTGACCGAAAATGCCTTATAATATACGATTTTAACCAACTTTTTTTGGATTTTACGAAAATGACCAACAAATTCGCAACGCGAACTCCAATTTCGCAAGACAAGTCCCAAAATCGCAACGCGAAAGTCAAATTCGTAACGCGAATAGTTAAATCGCAATGATAATACGTAATTCGCAACGCGAATAGGTAAATCACAATGCAAATTCTCCAAATTCACAACTCGAATTTTGCAACGCTAATTACTGATATAGGTAATTAGCGTTGCAAAAACGAAATTCGCGTTGCGAAAACGAAATTTACGTTGCGATTTTCCAAATTCGCAACGCTGGAAAATCGCAACGCGAATAGGTAAATCGCAACGCGAATTCTCCAAATTCGCAACTCAAATTTTGCAACATTAATTACTGATATAGGTAATTAGCGTTGCGATAACGAAATTCGCATTGCGATTTTGGAGAATCGCGTTGCGAATTTCGTTTTCGCAACTTGAATTTCGCAACGCTAATTACCTATATCGGTAATTAGCGTTGCGAAAACGAAATTCGCATTACAATTTTGGAGAATCGCGTTCCGAAAACGAAATTTGCGTTGCGAATTTGGAAAATCGCAACGCGAATTTGGAAAATCGCAACGCGAATTCTCCAAATTCGCAACTCGAATTTTGCAATGCCAATTATCGATATAGGTAATTAGTGTTGCGAAAATGAAATCCGCGTTGCGATTTTGGAGAATCGCGTTGCGAAAATGAAATTCGCAACACGAAAGTCAAATTCGCAAAAGAGTCGTCGGTCTTAAATTTCAATCGTATGCTAAAAATCTTTGAACTGGCAGCCGGGTTGAAGTTAAATCTGAAAAAAACCATGCTTTTTGGGATCAATGTGGATGAGAGCATTGTGAAGAGTTGGGCAGATAAGATATTGTGTGTGTCGGCAAAGCTTTCTTTGACTTATTTGGGGCTTCCGCTTGGCCAGAAGAAAAATTCTAAGTCCATTTGATAGCCCATACTGGATAAAGTTAGGAATCACCTTCAAATTTGGAAAGGTAAACTCCTCTCTTTCAGAGGTATACTAACTCTTATTAAATCTGTTTTGGTAAACTTACCGGTGTACTATATATCCATTTTTCATATTCCTAATACTATTGTTGATTCTATCAACAAATGCATATCAAATTTTCTGTGGAATGCTAAGTCGGAGAGGAGTATTCACTGGATTCAGTGGGATAATGTTTGTGGGCCAAAGTCGCATGGGGTTTGGGTATTGTTGATGTAAAAACTAAGAATCGTGCTTTGCTGAATAAATGGATTTGGAGATTTAGTGAGGAAGTTAATAGTTTATGGAGGAAAATAATTGTAGCGAAGTACAATTACGATAGTGCTTCGATTCTTCTGAAAGCAGTATCCATTAGGAACTCGTATTGGGTGTGGCGTGGCATTATCAATCCCGTATTTTCAAATGAGGTGGATCTTCTTTCTGATTTAAAGTGTGTTATGGGTGACGGCGCCAAGATTGAATTCTGGACGGATAGATAGACCGTCATGAATTCACTCAAAGATTCATTTCCGAGAATTTTTGTTGTTGCTACTAGAAAATTCGATAAGATTTCTGATTTTGGGAGGTGGCATCATGGTGTTTGGGAATGGAATATTCAGCTAAGAATACCTCTTTTTGATTGGGAAAAGTCTACATGGTCTGATTTTTTATCTGTTCTGAATAAAGCTGTTAGCATTTTTCCGAGTAAGGATCGGCTCAAGTGGAGTGGTGCGTCTCATGGTAGGTATTCAATGAAAGATTATTGTATTAAGTTGGAATGTTGTGGTAAGTCGAAAGATCCTATATGGAGATTGGTTTGGTTTAAGTTTGCACCACCTAAAGTAGCTACTTTTGTGTGGAAAGTAGTTCATCAAAGGATACCGGTTACTACAGAGTTGCAAAAAAGAGGAGTTAGGAGTATAGATCAGCCCGAATGTGTGTTTTGTAAATGCGAATCGGAATCTATTAGCCATGTTTTATGCCATTGTGGAGTTGTATGGCAAGTATGGCAACGATGGTGCAAGGTGTGGACAGTGAACATAGTAATCCCCAAGAATGTAAAACAACTGTTACAAGTATGGTTCTCGCAAATAATTAGGAAGCGTGGTAGGTTGGTATGGCATCTTGGTTTTTTTTGGACTAATTTGGGTAATATGGTTATGCAGAAATCAATCTCGATTTAAGGGTGTATCGTTTACAGTGGATCAGATATTTTTCTAAAGTTTTATTTCAGGTAAGGGTCTGGTCTAATTTTTATTGGCCTACCTTGATTCCATACGTGCAAGATTTTATTCGTAGCCCCGAGTCCTTCGTTCTTCGTTGAACGCTTCTGCTGTTATGATGTATATTGTTTTTCCAATTTTGCAATTGTAGTTTTTTGCTGTTATTGTAATGTTTCTGCAGTTTACCGCACCTAATTGGTGTGTTATTCACATGTGTTAGTTTACTTGCTTATTGGTTGTAATGTGGTACATGGTTTTGGTTGTTATGGTTCAAGGTTTAGGAATTAGGTGCGGTATGCGTTTTTTGGGTTATAGCGTTTTTGTCTTTCCAGATTGTATTCAAGTATCACCCCATGGTACACTCTTTTTCCTCCGATAGGTTTAGGGAGGTTTTTTAACGAGGTCCTAGGGGTGATGTACTTTGTTATTATTCAATACAAGGTACCCTTTTTCAAAAAAAAAAGGTCAAATTCGCAACGCGAATAGTTAAATTGCAACGATAATATGTAATTCACAACGCGAATAGGTAAATTGCAACGATAATATGTAAATCAAAACGCGAATTCTCCAAATTCGCAACTCGAATTTCGCAACGCTAAATACCGATATAAGTAATTAGTGTTGCGAAAATGAAATACGCGTTGCGATTTTGGAGAATCGCGTTGCGAATAGGTAAATCGCAACGATAATATGTAAATCGCAACGCGAATTCTTCAAATTCGCAACTCGAATTTCGCAACGCTAATTACCGATATAGGTAATTAGCATTGCGAAAATGAAATTCGCGTTGCGATTTTGGAGAATCGCATTGCGAAAACGAAAATCGCATTGCGATAGTATTGTTTACCTATATCAGTAATTAGCATTGCGAATTTGACTTATGTGTTGCGATTTACATATTCGCGTTGCGATTTACATATTCGCGTTGCGATTTACATATTTGCGTTGCGATTTACAAATTATCGTTGCGATTTTGGAACCTGTGTTGCGAAATTGGAGTTCGCTTTGCGAATTTGTTGGTCATTTTCGCAAATCCAAAAAAAGTTGGTTAAAATCGTATATTATAAGGCATTTTCGGTCACTGAAGTTATTTTCTCTAAATTTTATTATGTACCAGGTTTTTTATTATAAATAGATATGTAACCTAAACCTATGAGACATTGAATAAAACTTCTAGCGCCGCATAGGCACTGAGGATGTAAGCACATTGCTGAACCTCGTTAAAATTCTTGTGTTCTTTCGTTATCTTTGCCCGATTATTCAACAAAAATAATATAATAAACAAGATTTATAAAATGAAATTTTTATTTCCTAATGAATTAATTTTACATGATAAATAATTTTATATCATTTAAAATAAATTTAAAATTTTATACATATATAAAAAAATTTATTAAAAAATTCATCTAACAAAATTAAATGTACCACAAGAATTAATCGGAATTAACCATTATAAAATTATGAGAAAGTCGGACGACAATTAAAAAAAACAATAGGTCATCATTTTTAGGACATGAAGACAATAAACCCAACTGACTGTATAGAACAAAACCGTAGTTGTAGGTGTCACCTGCCATTACACAAGTAGACATCTTCGTTGGGGAGGGTCCTGATTTGGGTTAAATTTGAACGTAAAACTTTTAAATTGAAGTCTGGTCCGATTCATATAAAATAAATGATTTTAAATTTATTTTATTTAAATTTATTTATGAAATAATATAAATATTAATATGAGATTATATTTTAATTAAAAATAAATTATTTAAATAAATCGTATCGTATTTGAAGTTACTTTTCTTTTTCAGAAGTAAGATCCTATTTAGTTTGACTTGTGAGCGCATTCAATTGGACCTTCATTCATATATCTATTTTTTTAACTTTCCAAGTTACCGAATTTGAAATTCTTTTTTAAGTTAATGTTTAAAAAATAATTTTAGTATCTTGATTTTTTAATATTATTTTATTAAAGTGATAAGATATTTTTAGGAGTATAATTAAAACATAATAATGTTGAGAGTTATTTTTTTATTATTATGTCTTTTTAACTTTTTAATTTATAGTTTTATTTTAGGATATACACTTATTAGACTCAACGCTAGTAGTCTATATTTAAGTCTTGAAAAGCTAGTATTGAAAAGCTAATTTATATTGTAGTTTAATACATAATTTTTTCTAATAAAAGGTTTAATGTAAAAATAAGTGTCTAAATTATATCTTTTTAATTTTAAGTGTCTAAAGAATTTTAGCTAAAAATATGTGTTTAACATTATATTTTTTCATACCTGGACCATAATCGACGTTAAATTCGACCATTAAGTGACATGTACATCCATATAAAATTTCATTTTTTTTTTAAAAACACTTAAAATTATTATTTTAACCGACGTTAAAAGTGTAACATTAGAAACGTTATACACTTATTTTTAACGAAAAAGTCTTTAAAATTAACTTTAGATATAATTTAGACACTTATTTTTACATTAAGAATTAATAAAAAAAAGTAATATTGTTTTATGAGATTTTTCTCTAACTCATTGGTTATTGTTCTTATGAGTTTAGGCTTAGCTATTTTGTATCAAACATAACTATTACACTTTATAATACACTGATAAAATATATTGTACTTTTACAAAGTCAGTTAATAGGGGAGTATTTTTCAGCGATTGTTTAAGGTATTCATTTTTTTTATAGAGTCTCTAATTTTTCAGACTTACTTTTTATATTCATAATCGAAATCTTTAATTTTTTTAGTCTTTATTTCTTTTTATATTTAAGGTCCCTAATTTTTGTAATCTCACTTTTTACCCTTACAATTGAAGCATTTAATTTTTCAATTCTACTTTTTACATTTATAATTGAAGTCCCTAATTATTTCAATCTTACTTTCTATCTTTATAGTTGAGACTCCTAATTTTTTTAATTTAACTTTTTACCTTTGTAATTGTGGCTCCTAATTTTTTTTACTCTTACTTTTTACTTTTATAATTCAGGTCCCTAATTTAATCAAATTTTTAAGATTTATTAATTTAATATTATATTAATTGTTCAAAGTAATAGAATATAATTTTGTTAAATAAAAGAATTTTTTTAGTATCATTTAGGATCTTGAAAATATTCGAGACGACTATACATTTAAAGAATTTAAGTTAAAACATTAAAAATGACATTACTTTAAATTTGAAAATGAGTGCCGAATTCATATTTTATATATTTGAACTATCATTTAGAAAATACTAGCAGGTACCATAAAAAATTCTCTAACATGCACAATCTTTTCTTCTATTAATTATAAGAGATTGCATACGATATGTTTAAATTATGATTTATATTTCAAACTAAACCTTAAATTTCAAAATGATTTACATTGATTTCTAAATTATTGATTCCATTTTAATTTACTCCTTAACTCTAAAGCATTATATATCAGTTGTCAACATTAATATCATTTTATTTTGATACTTTCGTAAACGTATTTTTAACTCTATTAGTTAAAATATTTAATACATTTTTTAAGATATTGATAATTAAACCCGTAACCTTTTAAACATTCTCAGGACCTTAAAAAATAAATTAATATTTTAGAATATCATGTGTTCAACTTCCAAGACCTTCAAAAATCACTAGAGTCAATGGCACATTAATAGAGTGATCAAAAGTGGATGTAACTGAAAGTTTGAGGACTATTATAAAACATTTTAGAGTTTAGGAACTAATTTAAAATGGGAGCCATAGTTTGAGGACCTATATAAAACATTTTAAAGTTTAGGACCAATTTAATATGGGAGTCATAGTTTATGAGCATCATGTGAGATACTATAAATATAGCTGCCACCTTTGAAAAGTAGAGTTGGGTATATGGGCTAAGTCTAGTGGGCTACCCGTATAACCCGAGGCTCGTGCGGGCTTCGAGCTCAAAAAATAAAGCTCATTTAAATTGCGGGCTTATTAGCCCGGACCATTAAACCTGTGGGTTTAATGGGTATACCCACGGGCTCTGTGGGTTGCCCACCTAATTTAATTATTTTTTCAATTTATTTTATGTTTTACGGAAGACAATTTACATTTTGCCCAATTCACGTTTTATGTGCATTTTAGTCATAGCCCAATTCACATTTTATGTGCACTGAAATCTGAAGCCCAATTCACGTTTTAATTTGATGATATCCAATTTTGAAGTTCGAACGTATTAATTATACATATGGTAACGTAATATGATAAAATAAGCAAAAAGATTTCTGTTTTTTCATATATGTATTTACCATTTATAATTAATACCATCAAAATATATATATATATATATATATATAAATAAGCCATAAAACATTTATTATACTCCAATAATTAACCATAAGAAAAACTATATACTTATACGTTAAAAAAAAGAAAAAAACAAATCAAAGTATTAAACCATGTATAAATATAATAATTAAATTAAAAAGGTAAAGTAACATAATATGCAAATATGCAAATAATATATAAAACTTGATGCAGTGATAAAAAAACATAAAATTGGAGTGCAAAATTAAAATAATAAACTATGTTTGAGGATTATATTGCATTCATTCAAAAGTGGGTGGAGCCCTTACACGATTAGCACGTTAAAACTTGTCATGGTTGCCCTAAATCCCTAAAATATGTTATTTTGTGTGACTTATATTATATATATGTCGTTATAAAATTTTAGGAACCATACCCTCATTTTTTGTTTCCCTTCTCCACCGTTTCTCTCTGTCTCCCCAACTTCTCTCTTTTTTTCACACAAACAGTAAACTTAAACTTTTGGTCACCATCCTAACCGGCACCAATGACCATAGAAATCTACTCCTTAAACTTTATCTCTTTCAACCCTTAAAGAAAACCAACATCTCCTCCACACGAACCAGCGTCGCGGCTCCTCCACACGAAATGGTGTTATGTTGTTATTTATTTTAGACTTATTGAGACTTAATGGTGTTACTTATTTACTTGTTTATTTTGAGACTTATTGAGACTTAATAGTGTAATGGACTTTTCAAGTTGCTGGATCATTTTTAAAGGTGCAGCAAGTTAGAACATTATTTTTTTATTGCATTTAAAATTGTTGTTATTTAACGGGTCGCAGTAAGCCTGTTAGTCCGTGGGTTAAATGGTACGGGCCGCGGGTCTTAGAATTCAAGACCGTTTATGATCGTGGGCTTTTTAAACCGCTCTATTTA